GCCGGCTTCAGCCTCCCCAGCAACTCAATCACCGGCACACGGCTAACCAAATTACTGCTTGGTGCTCTGGGCCTCCCCGTTATGTGACTCAGGAGCCTCATTTGCAATCACCATTAACCAGAAAAGCCGCACGACTGCTCTGAGCCCACAGAGTGTCATACAATCATCATAGAAACCCATGGGCCGGAAGAGGCTGCAAAGCCTTTAGAATGACGCTCGCACAGTGACCATCAGCAGCTTGGGGTCGCCTTCCTTACCCTTTCTCCAGCCCCTCTGGCGAAGTGGCTACAGCCTGGACAGAGAAAGCAGACAGTGAAATACCCAGAGGAGTGGGAATGGAACTGTCAGAGGTGGAACTGAGTAACCTACACACCACCTATTAAACAATCTCGCTGGAAGCCTTTAGCTGCTTTAAAGTAGGTATTCACACAGAACACTCCAAAGGCCACCTCTAAATCTTTAAAGACAATGCTCAAGTCTTTAGCTCTCATTCAGCAGCCTGCTGTGCTGTGTGAAACAGAGTTAGCAAAGCCCGGGGCAGCACGGGATTTCCAAAGATTACCCCATAAATGGCAAAGGCAGCCACACATCTCACCTGTCTCCTTTCTTGGTCCCAGCTGCCTCCTCCTCTTCCTTGCAGCCCCCACCCTCCCCACTGCCACTCAGTACACATTCATCCACACAGGTTGGTCTGAGAATGAAAGGCACATGAATGCATCAACAAATGGTACTGAAATGTCCCAGTTTCAGATTTCATATCTGTCAGGCACTTAAATTAAAGCCACGATTGTCCCGTACGCCCCTCCCATTTCGTGTGCACGCAAAGGTTAATTGGGTTGTCTGGGGTGGTACAGACACCGGGTGGAGGTATCAGAGGGGGCCCTCATGGAAGTTCGCCAGAAAGCATTTTGCTCTTCTTTTTTTTTTTTTTTTTTTTTTTTTTTTTTTTTTTTTTTTTTTTGAGACGGAGTTTCGCTCTTGTTACCCAGGCTGGAGTGCAATGGCGCGATCTCGGCTCACTGCAACCTCCGCCTCCCGGGTTCAGGCAATTCTCCTGCCTCAGCCTCCTGAGTAGCTGGGATTACAGGCACGTGCCACCATGCCCAGCTAGTTTTTTGTATTTTTAGTAGAGACGGGGTTTCACCATGTTGACCAGGATGGTCTCGATCTCTCAACCTCATGATCCACCCGCCTCGGCCTCCCAAAGTGCTGGGATTACAGGCTTGAGCCACCGCGCCCGGCCTGCTCTTCTTCTTTCAGAAACTTGCTCATCAAAAGCTGCGGTTAAGAAGAGGAAGTCGCTCAGCCAGCCTCAGCCTAGCTACTGCCTGCTTGGGAAGTGCTGATGACCCGACCCCAGGGGGGTCTGGCTAGCACTACAGAGCCTTCTCTGGAAAAACCTGGGCACAGGAACGGACTACTCCTCCCTTCAAAGGATACCTCTGCAGATTGGGCAAAAGAAGGTAGGGCTGCCCAGGGCAGGGCACTATAGAAGCTACTAGTGCCAATGGGAGCGCAGCCAGGAGAGAAAGGCTTTCTTGGTTTAGAAACAAAGCAAAGGACAGGAGGGAGAGAGGAGTGCTGAATCAGGACCAGGGACAGGCGCCCTCAAGAGCGCCAGCCTGAAGTCTGCTCACCACATTTCAATAACCTCTGTGAATGAGGAAGCAGAGGGCAGGCAGCCAAGAAAGCCGGCTCCTTGACGGTCACTTTTTATGGGGTGGAAAGAAGTGGGGGCACCATTTGGAACCCTAATCTGTGCAAGGAGTCCTCAGAGACAGAGACAGAGAGGCAGAGGGAAACGGTCTTGTTTGCCCTCCACTGACTGGCACTCACTGCAAGCTGAGGTCTCTTATGCTCAAGGCTGGCTACTCTAAATGTCCCTTTTAATTAGGGTGAGCTTCAGGGGTCTGATGGCTTTAGCCAGAGGATCTGCTGTTCCCGGGAAGGCTCTGCCTTCCATTTAGAAGGAAAGGCATCAGCTTGCTTGAAGGAATCCCAGGTTACTGAGTAATCACCATAATAAGACTGAGAATGAAGGTCACCTATACAGGCATGGTAAATACACCATTTTCTTTGCTTTGTAAGTGAATTTTGATTATAACTCAGCACTTGCCTCCGGTTCTAAAATGCTGTTGGTTCAAATTCTCAGGAAAGCCCAAGAAAGGATAAAACACATAAACACTTCCACAAAGAAAAACACAAGCTTCCCAGCCCTCTTTGTAGTTACATGCAACCCAGAGAATTGAAAGCCAGGTTGCAGTCTCTCTCTCCTTGGTCACCATCTCATGTACTGGCCTGTCATAAAAAGTGTGGGAAAGCACAGCAGATCAATAGCTATTCTGGGTTAATATTGCCACACGTTTTCTTTTTCCTTAAAAAAAAAAAAAAAAAAAAAAAAAAAAAAAGGACTTTCGTCCCCACTACATAGATCACAGCTTATTACTTCCAAGGGACATTCTCATGGTCGGTTTATGGAAATCAATGTTTAGAAAGAGAATTTTTTTTTGAGGTTACATGTGCTTTTTAATACAAGCAGCAGGGCAGTGATGTTCCTATAGAGTTAGTCTTTTTAAAGCTCTCCAAATGGCTATTAGCCCTTAGGTTTGAGAAGGGGGTAAAAATTCTCTGATGGGCCACCTGGACCCTTAGGGTCTCTCCCTACCTGGCACCCTCTTCAGATCCTGTGTGCCCTATCCTACATCCTGGGGACAGTAGCAGCACCCAACTTTCTTTGTGTACCTGCGGTGATGTTCCTCTGAGCAAAATCCCTAAGAGTTTTTTTTATGGGAAATGAAAAGCCAAATGAAAGTGTAAGTGAAAAAGTGAGCCATGGCCTCTCAAAGCATATGTCATCCACTTTTATGTTATTGCATATATGATTTCTAAATTGCCTGAAGGTGTTAAGTGACAACTTTTGAATTTGCTTTTGGAACTCTACAAATTATATATACAATAGCATACATTATTTTTAGAGGAGAGTAATAAAGCACTTCTAATACCTCTCTTCAATCTCAAAAGCTGAGGCGGAGAAAGAGCAGACCATAAGCCCATTTAAAAGGTGAGGAAGGGAAGGCTCAAACAGGTGGAGGAGGGATTCAAGTTCACACAGCTGGCCAGAGCTGACTCAAGGCCTCCAACCCTGACTCTGGACTCCTGAGTTAGGGCAGCAAGACGACTCGTTAATATCCAGGGAGACATCATTGAGAAATACACACAAATGGAGTGAGGACTCCTCTCGGAGACCTTAACACCCTTCTATTCTCCATCATCGACTGCAGTCCATGAACCACATAAATTCAAACTTCGGAAATGCTAAAGTCTCATAAGCAATTTTTAAAGGTATTAAAATACAAAACAGAAGTAAACAAAATTTCTTGCTCCAGGGAACTAACAAACGCAAAGTGACAAAATAATGGGAGTTTGAATGTGGTCTCAAAAGTGGCCATAAAATGGAATTCAGAATTATATTTTAATGTCTATACTGTATACTTGCTTTGCCAAGGATGACTGGTAGTGAATTCTCATTTATAAAACTAAGCCATAAAAGAAAAAAAAAATAGTGAAATGAGAGGAAAGAGCGCGCAAGCAAGAGCAGGTGTGAACAGTGGCATGCGATGGCATTCGTCAGAGCTGGGGTACCAGACAGAGTCAGATCCTAGGTCAGGTGCACCACTGGGGTCCCAGGACGGTCCATCACCCCTCCGCCAGGATTGGCCTTGGCATGTAGCCCCAGCAGCTCCAAGCCAGCTGTCTTTCCTAGAGACTTCCAGGAATTGGGAGTGAGGGTACCCATCAGTGCTGACCTGCGGGTTTCCAGCTGAGGACAGTCTGGCCGTGGGAGTTTATAAAGTGACGGACAACAGGCAGTGCTACAGCAGTGGTCAAAGTGACAGATCTATCCTCACAGACTGTCTGGCACTGGCGCTGCAGACACGGCCCCTCCCCCCTGCACCCAGTTCTGCCTTACAGAGGAGGACAGGAAAGGAACTTTCAGTGAGTCCACCTCTTATGTTAGGATAGAGGCAAGGTGCTGAGTTTCCCATCTGGGGAGTTCAGTTATGGCCTCTCTCCAGCCCCCAGCCCCCAGCCCCCTGACTTCCTCTCTTCCCCTCCCCCATTCACCCCTACCCAGTGGCCCATCCTTCCTTTCCCAGTCGGTTTTGGCTGTGATGTGTAGCGGCTGTGCTGGATCCCACATTTTGTCTGATCCCTAAAAGGGCACTGACTTGAGGATACAAATGCAGAGTCCGCAGGGCAGCAAGGCAGCCGCAAGCAACCCAGCACCCAGCTGCCTAGGGAGCTCCAGGCAGTAGCTGCAGCAGCTTGGAGCTGGTTTCATTATTACACAATCCAGGCAAATCCTGCTCCTCTTGTCTTCAGTGCAAAGAGCGCATCTAACCAGCAGGAAGGAGAAAAGCCAAAATCCTCCCGACACCACACACACACACACACACACACACACACACACGAGTCTGAGGACAAGGACAAATACTTTGCAGAAAGAACCGAACCCCCCCCCCCCAAAACTCCCAGGTCCGTGTTTCAGGATTCCTCACCCCCTAGTAGCTTCCAAAATCCTCGTGTTTGACCACCTCTCGGAACACATGGGACAGAAGAGAGCAATTTGGCTAACTTCATATCCTGTCTCCTGAACACTCGCCCACAAATACTGGGGGGAGTGATCGGGACGCCCCCCTGTTCCCTCCACCACCCTCGCTTCTGCCCCCCAGGCCCCTCTCAGGCTGACAGCGTCGGGGAAAGACACCAGACCAACAATCCAGTTTTTCTTGCCGGTAGGGAGACCACGCTCGGTCACTACCAGCACCCAGCCACCTAGACCGCGAGCCAGGCAGACGCCGGGTTCCAGACACAGTCCCAGCCCCCCGCGAAGCGGGGTGCAAAGGGCTGCACGCGCTCGCTGGAGGGTCGCTGCCGCCTCCGAGAAAGGACTTGAACCCGAGCCGGGGGAAGAGAAAATGACACAGAGAGAGACTCACCTTTAGGTTGTGCGTGGGGTTGACGACACAGACAAGTTGCCCAGCCGCGGAGAAAACGCGTTTAGCCTTGTAGTGCTGAAACCGGAGATGAATGAGATCTAACACAGCCCCAAAGCACTGGGTAAAGAAAAGCATCACAACTTTTGGGGGGCTGTCGGCCCGGGAAGGGAGCGGAGGAAGCGGTGAGTCCTTGGGCTCTGGCAGGAGCGCAGCCTCGGAGACACTCCGCTCCAGCCCGGCTTAGCGCGCCTTCATATTCATCATCAAAATAAGACGGTTAGAATCTTGCAGCAGTGAGGCGGCCAATCAAAAGGACAGAAATGTTATCCTTGAGGTGCAGAGACAGCCAATAACAAATGCCTTCCCTACCGAAACTCCCTGATGAATTGAGCCTGGCGGAGAATGTATTATTGAACATTACCATAGATCAGCACATTGCATTTATCTTGTGATTACAGCCAACCATACATAATGGTGGGGAGATAGGCTGACAAAATTGATTGCTTAATGTGTCTCCATTTATTAATTGACTTAATTTAACATGAGAGCCTTTCTTAATGCCCTGGCAAGAACCTAAAGCGTTTAAGCCGCCAAATAGTACAACATCCCGCTCCAAAGTAGGCAGATGGATAACGCAGATCGTGGCTCGACTCACCAGAGCTGCTTGGGAGAAAATAAAATATTACAAGACTCTGATTCCAGATAAGGACTTGGCAGCAGCCAAAATGTGTATCTTTCAATCTTGCGTTCTGACTTTCTGTAATTTGGATTACAGCCCCTTGATAAATCTTACTCTCCACTCTTTATCAAAGAAAAGAACCCCTGACAAATCCATTTGGAGTTGAGGGGTGGGGGGAAGCACATATTACTATATATAGTTTTTTCTTTTTACCCAAAATACTGTGATTACTGAAGTCTGAAAGTATCAAAGGATAAAAATGCACAGAGTATGCTTCAAAAAATAATGAAATCCCTGATGCATGAATGCTCACACACACACAAAAACCTACACTGAGAGGAAAGAGGCTTGTAAATCAGCAAAATAATTACAGATGCAGAGAACCTTTGCTTTTCACTCATTTGCATATTGGTGGGCAGCAAATTGCTAATTAACCACTAGATTGTTGGAGACATTAAAATAGAGATTAAGGATGCACGTACCACATCACTTACTTGTTTCTGCAAATGCTGGCAGCACCTTTCTGTGCTGGTACAGGCAGAGGGCATTCTAGTCCTCAGACTGCAAACCTATCCTTACTCCCCAGAACAGGGCTGGTGGGGAGCGGGGAGTGGGAGGCCGCTGGTTCTTGAAGAAAAGATTCCTAAGCAGTACTTGAAGGGCTTTGGGTTTCGGGGGACTAGCTCTGATGTTTTAGTCTTTGCAGCTAAAGCAGGGGAGTTGAGTGTATTGTGTTTTTCCTCTTCACTGGCTGTTTCTCTGTTGAGAAGTCAGCCCAGATCCAGTGCTGCCTGGAGCAGGATCAGCCCCCACTGTGAATTGTACTCTGTGAGTGTGAGCCCATCGGCCCCTCCCACATGCCTCTTGTTCTGGCTACAATGCTTAAATTGTAATGTATGCAAATCACATGCATCCAGGTGGGACACCTAAGTCTGTGACCTAGTCAGGCAATTAAACTAACAACAAAATAACATACAGGAGAAAAATAATGCACAAGTTTATTGATGCCAGGACAGAGTCCAGGCTGTTCATTTTAACTTGAATTTAAAACCAAATCAATGTTTTAAGGGACAAGCTGACCACCAACTAAAAAGGAAACTTTGTGCTTTCTAAAATTACTACACTGGCACCAAACTAGAAGATGCCAACATTTGAACTGATTAGAACCTCATCCATGTGATATTTGTATAGGACATGAGTCCCTGGACCCACTTGTTACATGGCACATAATAAGGGTTGCTGGCCCACAAAACCAGAATCTGCTTTCGACAGTTTGCATTGTCAAGAAAATAAGCTTTCAGCAGTTCATTGGGAAAACATTCAATGTCCTCTCATTGGCTTATTTCTTTTAAAAAATAAAAGTATGCATATACTCTTAAAGATTCCTTAAAGATACATTAACAATTCAGAAAGGTTCAAATTTATTTTTACATTTTTGGCTCTAGTGGAACAATTGTGTTGGTTTTTTGTTTTGTTTCGTTTTTCTTTACTTTTTAAAAATTTATTGTTTCTGTCACCCTGCTAGAAGTCAGTTCCATGAGAGTGGGGATTTCTGCATTTTTTTTGAAAAAGTATTTTTTAAAATAAAATGATTGTACACGAAACGAGGATTCCATCAAATAGGTCAAAGATCTATAACATTGTGTTGATAATTTCATGTTTGTGCTTAAGATGTAAAAATCAACTCTCCTTTAATTTTAACTTAAGGACCTAATGTTTTTAAAGTAGCCTTAGGTTCACAGCAAAATTGAGAGAAAAGCACAGAGATATCCCATTTTCCCCCTGCCCCAGACCTGCACAGCCTCCCCTGTTATTAACACCCCCCACTACAGGGGTGCATTTGTTACAATTAATGAACCCACACTGACACATCACCATCATCCAGAGTCCATAGTTTATACTAAGGCTCACTCTTGGTGTTGTACATCCAGTGGGTTTGAACAAATGTGTAATGACCCAAATCCATTGTTAGAGTATCATACAAAGAATTTTCACTGCTCTAAAGATCCTCTGTGTTCTGCTTATTCAGCCCATCCCACCAACTTCCCCCAGCTCTTGGCAATCACTAATCTTAACGCTGTCTACGACATTGTTTTGCCTTTTTTAAAATGTCGTGTAATTGGAACCATATAGTGTGTAGTCTTTTTGAACTGGCTTCTTTTACTTTATAGCATGCATTTAATATCCATATCCAGGATGTAATGGCTCATGTTTTTAACACTGAATAATATCCCATTGGGTGACCACAGTTTATTTATCTGTTCATCTACTGAAGGACATCTTGGTTACTTTCAAGTTTTAAGTTAATTTTTGTGAAGTGTGCAAGATCTGTGTCCAGATTCTTTTTTTTAAAATCTGCATACAGATGCTCAGTTTCAGTACCATTTGTTGAAAAATTGTTAGATTTACAACTAAGTATTTCTTCTTGGGTGCTAATGTAAACAGTATTGTGTTTTTAACTTCAAAGTCTACTTTGGTCATTGTTTACATATAGGAAATCAATTGACTTTTATGTATTAACCTTGTATTCTACACCTTTGCTATGATCATTTATTAGTTTGAAGAAGTTTTCTGTTGACTCTTGAATTTTCTATATGAACAATTATGTCATCTGTAAACAAAGGTAGTTTTATTTCTTTTTCTCTCAATCTGTATACATTTTACTTCGTTTCCTTGTCTTATTGCGTTAGCTAGAACTTCCAGTACAATGTTGAAAAGAAATGGTAAGAGAAGACATCCTTGTCTTTTTCCTGATCTTAGTGGGAAACATTTTATTTTCTCACCATTAAGTATGATGTTGGCTATAGGTTTATTGTAGTTATTATTTATCAAGTTAAAGAAGTTTCCTTCTACTCCTAGTTTACTGAGAATTTTTATTATGAATGGGTGCTGGATTTTGTCAAATGCTTTTCCTACATCTATTAATTGATCATGTGATTTTATTCCTTTAGCCTGTTGATATAATTAATTACATTAATTTTTTGTTTGTTTGTCTGTTTGTTTTTGAGATGGAGACTTGCTCTGTTGCCAGGCTGGAGCACAGTGGCGCAATCTCGGCTCACTGCAACCTCCACCTCCTGGGTTCAAGCGATTCTTCCACCTCAGCCTCCTGAGTAGCTGGGACCACAGGCACATGCCACCACGCCCAGCTAATTTTTGTACTTTTAGTAGAGACGGGGTTTCACCATGTTGGCCAGGATAGTCTCCATCTCTTGACCTCGTGATCCACCTACCTCAGCCTCCCAAAGTGCTGAGATTACAGGCGTGAGCCACTGCATCTGGCCACATTAGTTGACTTTTAAATGTTGAACTAGCCTTGTATGCCCAGAGCAAACCCATTATTATATTGTTTTTTTTCCCCTTATTATAACCTCAGCCAGTTTTCTTAACCTCACCAAAGCTCAATTCCCACACTATAACATGGGAATAATAGACATTTATTTCTTTTTCATGGACATGGTGAAGACTAAGATGATATATTTGAAGACACCAGCATACTGCCTGATTTGAAGTCGCTTCCCAATACTTGCTTCTACTGAGTATCTTTGGCAGAAGGGTGATTATTTGGTAATATGTTTTTTTTTTTTCCTGTGCCCTGAAGTATTTTTCCCCACTGATATCCACTCTACCATCCAGGGTCAAGCAAGTAGAGGGCATGATAAAAGTAGAGCTGGCTCCTGGCTATATACTTAGAAGGGTAAATGTTCCTGATATTGCCCAGAGATCAGGACTGAGAAGGTGAAGCCTGAAAGGCTACAGAGTGCTGATCCATATCAGCCATGAGACTAGCAGCATGCACCTACTACTACAGATTCTTTCCCTGGGTTTAGACTTAAGCCATAGCTTTAACTCTACACCCAAAAACTGGCTTTGTCACTCTATTTTAAGATATGAAGTACATCAATCTGTTCCTAGAGACAGTCTTAAAAATAATGAGCAATGTTTGGAACTTGCCCTAATAATCAATGTTTATGATTAATGTCCCAAAATAGGGTGGCACAAACAAGACTCGAGGTGGAGATCTGGAGCTATGTCCACTTTTTACCACCAAGTTGGCTCTTTTGCAAGAGACACACCAATCCCCTCATGCTATCCATGAGGCCTAGAACATCTCCTTCTTTTTGATGGCAACCAAATTTACATTTTATCTGTACTAGGAAGTGTCTGGGATTAACAATCAGACAAATCTAGATTCAAACCCTGCATTGTTAGTTACTGTAATTTTGGGCAAATTACTCAACCTCATTTATGCTTAGTTTTGTTGTCTGTAAAATAAAGCTATTAGTTTCATTAAAGCATAGTTTAAAAGATTAAATGGGTTAATAGAGATAATAACAGCCCAATGCCTAGTTTTTATGATACATGTAGCAATGAGAAGCTATCATCATCATCATCATCATTAGCTTCTTCTTATCAAAAACGTATTTGTGTAAATAACACAAAGTACCAGTGAGGTTGCAGAACACCAAAACTCTCATATATTGCTAGAAACCACTTAGGAAAGCCATTAGGTATCCTCTACTAGCACTAAACATATATATATTC